AAAAACGAGCTTGATAGCTCATCGTATTACTCTAGTATAAAGAAATGATTCTGGAACTACACAACACGCTGGGGGCAGGATTTACTAAGAGGCTGAACGTAGGAGTGGGATGTGAGGTGGTAATTCACATGGGAATTAATCAACCCCGACATGTTCCTGGAGAGTTGTATTGTGGTCATTTTAATTCACCATTAATAGACGTGACCAACAGGTAGGAATTACCGTTGCCATTTTTGCATACTACTGGGTCCGAATGGTGCAGAAGTGGGGTCTCTACGTACTGAATGAGATTCCTAGAGGCACACTTGGCAGCAGTGAGCACTGGTGACTATACTATACTGATGAGTCCTCATAAGGACCAACCTGGTCCTTTGCTTAAGTTATTGAAGGTGATTTAAAACAAGTTTAACACGGTACAGTGCTCCAGGAACTGGTGGTTTTGGCATAATAAAGAAGGAGTTTGTATACGCAGATCACGTGTTTGTGCTGTTGAAACTAATGAGTTATATTATCTCAAGGGATTTTTTAACCTCCAATTTAAAGCAGACGACATGTAGTATTCATGGTTAAGACAGAGTGTAGGGGCAAGTGCTGTTAGCAAGCACCTATGAAAGCCGACACAGTACACGAAGGGGTGGGTGGCCAGCAACACGTCTGACTGCCTTCATCTCCCTAGTGGCGATGTTTACACACCCCACAGGCACTCATTTGAGGCTGGGTCAGCCTCGGGGAGACCCAGGACCAGTTGAGATAAGTGACTGGTATTGGCCATGAGCAGGAATCGAACTTGGGGAAACGGGTTCGTAGCGCAGCGCGCTAACTGCTGCGCGATGGTTAATGTACCCACAGTGATAACCAGGGCGGCCTTCGGGGTTCGAACCGCGAATCTCTGCAAATCTCTGCAGATCCCAATCGATCCGCCAGCATTCGCCTCGTACAGGGGTCGGCAACCGAAATAACAAAAATATGTTTTGTTCGAATTCGGGATATGTATATAAAATACCTAGATATTCAATGCACGTGATGAATACGAGGCTCGCGGTGGCCCTTAATCGATAACGTCACGAAGCCGTTCCTTTGAATAGAGCCGGCATGCGGCTCCGGAGCCGCAAGGTTGCCGACCCCTTCTTCTGCTTGTCTTACGGCTGCTGATGTAGATGCAGAGCAACAACTACAATTAAAATTCAGGTAGTCAAGCTCAGACAGCCGCGTCAGGAGTAGCGGAGTTGTGTATCGCCGTGTTGTCTCCTTCGTATTATTGTGGATCGGGGCATTGCGTTGTTATACATTCATACCTGTCAACCCCTTATCAGTGCCTACCTGATTACAGACCAATTCAGACCTTATTGGTCACCCTGTGCTCCTGTCGTAACATAGAATCGATCACGTAGCAGCATAGCGCTAGCTGCTGGCAGGGAAGGGGATTTGCAGCTAACAACAGCCCTGACTGACAGCATGGCCAGGTGATAGATAGGCCTCGGCAAGGTAAGGTAAATTACCTTATTACCGGGTAAAAGGGTAAAGGTAAAGGTTTCGACATGCCAAGGGGTAGGGTAAAGAGTAGGGTAAAGGTAGCTCTGAAGAATTACCCGGTAGGGTAAGGATAGCGCGAATAATTACCCGGTAAATACAGTACCTTGTTTACCGCTAAAAGTTCCGTGGCGCAGTGACGCAGTCCGTGGCCTCCATTTTAAAGTGATGGCGGACCACATGGAGACGGTCCACGTTCTTGAGGTCGAGGTACTAGAGGACGAGGATGCCAGCAACGGCTTTTTTGGGGTTGCTGCGAACAGCAATCGAAAGAGGCAGCGGTATGCGTTCCCGTGGGAGCACACACACGATTGGATGGAGGGTGATCCGCATGCACAGCAAGGGAAGCGGCAGTGCGTGCACTGCAGCAAGTGGTTTTCCACCCACACGAACGCGTCGGGGTGGAAAGCCCACCTCAAGAAGCACAACGTGCTCGCCCCAAGCAGCGAGGTCGGGACGTCGGCGTCGGCGAGCCGCCTAATACAGCAAACGCTGAGACGGCCAGCAATCCCGGATCGCCTCCTGGTAAAGTTTGAGAACGCGGTGGTGGATTTTGTTATCCAAGGTGCAATCTCTTTGCGAGCCGCCGGCAGCGACAAGTTCAAGACCTTGGTCAACAAATTGACGCAGGGATATGAGGGCCCATCGACTCGCACCATAATTCGCAGGATTGTCGAGCATGACGCCATCATGCTGCCCATCGTCGGGGCGTTCTTCTCCAACCTGGACGTCGCCATCTCGCTCACCATCGACGGGTGGTCGAACCGCAACCTGAAGGGATTTTGGATGGTCACGGTGCACTGGATCGACAGCAAATCTGGTACGTCAAAATCCATGCTACTGACAATCCTCGATGTGCAGTCCGGAAGGGGTGTCGGCAAGCGCATTGGGGCCGCTCTGTTTGAGCACCTCCAAAGCCTCAGGCACAATATCTCGACCAAGCTGCTCGCTGTCACCAGCGACAATGGCTCCGATGCGAACAGTGCTGTCAAGACGTTGATCGCCCTGGTCAACATGGACGCCGGATATGAGCAGTTGCGGGCTTGCCACCATATTCGATGTGCGGATCATTCCGTCCAGATCGGTGTCGTCCAAGTTCTAAAACTGATCAAGTCAACAAATGCCGAACTGCGCAAGGCGCTCTCGTTAATATAAGGTGCAGCAAGGTCGTCCGGCAGTCGTACCGCCGCGAGGCTGAGATCGCCAAGCTCGCCAGCAAGGAGCCGACGCACCAGGACTCGCCGACCAGGTGGCATTCGACGTTTGACATGGGCGACGACTCCATCAAGAAGCGTGTCCCATTGGACATTATCATGGCGCGCTTCCAGGATGTGATCGGTGTCGGTGCTTTATCTGAACTGCAGTGGGCAAACATCGAGGGCGTGACAGCATTCCTGCGAATGCCGCGCCAGGTCATGGCCTCGTTGTCGGTGGACCACAAGTCGACATTGGATCTCGTGCCGGTGACGATGGAGCACCTCGTCCGTCATTGCGATCACGGTGAAGCCGCCCTTAGAGCGATCGATGAGCCCTTGACTGCGACGGGGATGAAGGCCAAACTGGTGCGGTACCGCCACCTACTGGTTCAGGAACCCACCATTGTGGCATCCTACTTGAATCCACAGCTGCCAAAAACGACAGACCAAGACGAGCTGGCTACACTGAAGGCCACAATCCGCTCTGTCCTGCAGCATCGCTACTCGGACGTGCTCACGACCTCGCCGACGGCAGTTGCTGCCCATATGGAGGAGCGGTCGCTGTTCAGCACCCTGTTCAGCAACGTCGGCAACTCCATAGACGACGGCGATGAAGTCGATCGTTTTCTGAGCATGGGCGTCACGACCGCCAGCGCCTTCATTGACGTAATGCAGTGGTGGTTTCTCCGCAAAGAGCTGCTCCCCGCCCACTACAAGATGGCCTGCGACTACTTGGGAGCGCCGGCGACGTCAACTCCCTGTGAACGCGCGAATAGCGGAGCCGGGCGGGAGTTCACATGCGTTCGCCAGTCGCTGTCAATGAAGCTCTTCATAAAGTCCATGTGCTTGCGCTCATGGATCACGGCCGGCTGCCTGAAGGTTCCGTCTAACTGGGCCGGAGCGGCACAGGATCTTATTGCCTGTCGTCCGTCCGAGGATGATGGCAATGACGAACTTGATCAGGTTGTTGATGAGATCGCCATCGACCAACACGACTGGGACGAGGAGGTTATGGAGGACTGGTGTCGTCGACAGCCTAAACGCCCGATTCGAGAGTATTCTATATGAATAAAACGCTCTAACTATTTATCGTTATAAATCTTTTCCATGTTTTTTTAATTACCCTGTAATCGGGAAATTTGTATGGGATAAGGCAAAAGGTAAGGTAAAGGTAGGCACGTTCTTTTTTACCTTTTACCTTACCTGCTAAAGGGTAAAAGGTAGGGTAGCGCGATTGTATTGTGGTAAGGTAAAAGGTAGGGTAAAGTTTCTCTTGTTTTTTTTTACCGTTTAACTTTTACCTTACCTTGCCGAGGCCTAGTGATAGACCAGAGAGGGATCTAGGGAAAGGGTCACATCGAGAACTCGCTAGTAGGTTCCAGAAGGGGGCGTGGCTGGGGGCGAAATGTGACGTCACGTAAAAATGCGCAACTTTAAATATAGACAACACGTTCTACTTAATAATATAGACTTTTTTTATAAATGTTTCTCCTACAACATCAGAGTGCAGCGCCACATTAAATACGGACTACAATGACAATAGTTTTAAGCGATTTGAAGCGTGTTTTATTTTTGTGGGGGGGGGGGGGGGGGGCAGAGCTTCGTGACGTCATATTTGAGGGGGGTCTGACTTTTTGTGACGCCGTGTGACGAGGGGCGGGGGTAAAAATCGTCCAAAATCGCGTGACGTCATTTATGGACGGCCCCTAAACCGTACGGGTTGACAGCTGTGCACTTTGCACGGTCTCGTGCCATCGGGCTCCTCCTCAACTTGCCCGGCTTCGACACTGACCACCAATAAGAGCACGAGCTGCCTCCAAGTCACGTGGCTCGCCCCATTCACAAATCGCGTGGCAGCAACTGCTGCCCGCCCCCCGCCAGTGACGCAGCGACTGCTGCCCCCCTCACCCACCCCCACCCACCACTCCCACTGTCAGTGACGTAGCGACTGCTGCACCCCCCCACTACCCCCCACCAGTGACGCAGCGACTGCTGCCCCCTTCACCCACCCACCCCCACCCACCAGTGACGCAGCGACTGCTGCCCCCCTCACCCACCCACCACTGCCAGTGACGCAGCGACTGCTGCCCCCCTCACCCACCCCCACCCACCACTCCCACTGCCAGTGACGTAGCGACCGATGCAGCCCCCCCCACTCCCTCACCAGTGACGTAGCGACTGCTGCCCCCCATACCCACCCACCACCCCCACTGCCAGTGACGCAGCGACTGCTGCCCCCCCCCACCCACCGCCCACCCACCAGTGACGCAGCGACTCGCGCGAGGCTTATTTTCGTCACACGGTGGCGCTTTCTCATCCACCGCCTCCACCTCGTCGTCGTCGTCTCTCGCCTGCCGCTCGCACGAGTCCCTTCCTCGCCGACGAAGCAGACAGCGGCCGCGTGTGGCATGGGGGACGAGGAGCTCGAGGCGATTCGCCGCCACCGAATGTCGGAGCTGCAGGCGCAGCGCGGCGGGGTGAGAGCCGCTGCTGTTGTCGTTGTTGTTGTGTGGGTGGTGGTGGTGGTGGAGCCGCGACGCACTCCGCTAGTCGAGCTCCGTACGAGGCGATGGGGGCCTGTCGGCGTGGGGGGGGGGCAGCCTCCCCCTCCTCTCCTGTCTCCGCGCTGTTTGCGACGAGATTGTTGTGTTTCGGTGTCGGACGTGGTTGTTGGTGATAGCCACAAACACTGACAATCGCCCGCATTCATAACAATAGTCACCGGCTTATCCCACGTCCGCTATTCGACTCGTAACTGTCAATATACATACACCACCACTGACAAATAACCACAATAAAATACAACCGCCCATCGCCGCTAAAGTGGTAGGGATGTAACCACGGCACTCGTGCCAGGCTAGGTGCACCATGAGGCCAGGTGAAACGTGGAAATGTCACGAGACAGACCCAGGTGTTATTGGTTGACTGAGTGTAATAATGTACAGTACAAAGATCCCCACGTATAGCCTTAACTAGACTGTAGGGGCAAGTGCTGTTAGCGAGGGTACCTATGAAGGTGCCGGCACGGCACACGAGGGAGTGGGTGGCCAGCACCACGCCCGACCGCCTTTGTCTCCCCAGTGGCCATTTTTGTACACATCGCACCAGGTACTCATTTAAGGCCGAGTCGACTTAGGGGAGGCTCAGGACCGGTTCAGATAATCGTCACTTGTTGATGGCCGTGAGCGGTAATCGAACTCGGGTCGCCGGTTTCTTAGCGAAGCGTGCTAACCGCTACACTCCAGCACATCCCTTCATTCACTACCACTGACAACCGGCACAACAATAACAGCAGTGGACAACCCTGCATCCCCTGCTGGAGAGAGGGGGGGATCTGTAACCCCTTCACCGCAGCCGGCGAGGGAGATTGCCACGCCTGATTCTCCAACTCTTACCCTGCAAGAAGAGTTCCTCCACCACGTGCGCGCGCGCATTCGTGTCCCGTAGTGAGCTTCAGCAGTGGGTTGATCTTGTGTGTACCCTACTGCATATTTGTGTATTATGTTGCGTGTGTACGTGTCAAACTGTGTCTTGCTTAAGTGTTATTTCGACGGCCAGAAAATAAATACGGTATATGCAGGCTGGAAATATGGCGTATCCATCAGCGAAATGTAAAAGGAATGCCAGCAGGCTGTGTATGTCAACATTAGATCGCCGTTCTTTCACACATTCGGCATACAGCCATGTGTATTGTGCGTATAATGTGTATGGGTAAGAAGCAGTGGCACAGTGGTATTAAGCACTGCTCAAGGAATCGGGAAAATTGAGTTGTTTCCTGGCCACTCATGACATTAGTGACGAGTTATATCTACCAAATAAATGAAACTGAAACTAAACTAGCCCTGCCCCTACCTACCCCGTCACGAACCCGCTCTGACCAGTATTGTGATGTAAAAATTACTTCTATTTATAAGGCGTGGATATCCCTTCCTCCAGCAGTGAATTGACAAAGGGCTGAACGTTATTTTTATAGTGTGCATTTTTGCGTGACTTGGCAAAGTCAATTCCGCTTCTAAATATATTAGAAGTGTTTCAATATCATTCAATACAAACTACTTTTAAAACCTCAAATGTTGTGGAAATAAGTGAAAACATAGCCGTTGAGTCTTCTAACAGAGATGATTTCTTAATAAACTGAATTTTCAGCTAGATAATTGTATTGCGGTAAACATTGTGTTTACATAATTTGTGATCGTTACATTATGAATAAATTATCTCCTACTTGTGAAATGTATTCCCAGAGGTTGGCAGCAGTGGACACAGATCAATAAACATTGGAAACCTCTGTGAAGTACAATAGCTGTAAGTTAACTAGGGCTGGAGGCGACTGTATTTAATATAACATGTATTCACACGTAGTGAGGTGGTAGCATTATAAGTTGTATCTGCTTCGCAGGTTTACTCCAGCTAATGTGTTGACATTTTATGCCACTCGTAAACTTACATTTGTTTTTAAATCGTGTTATATTATCGTCTTCTACCGGCTCTGCTCCATCACCTGTCAGCAAATTTTGGCCCCTCAACCGGTCTCACAGAGCACCGAGCCTGGCACGGATGCTGTGTGAACGCCACTCGGCAGTAAATATCAGCTGTAGTATTTGCGCGTGTAGTTTGTGATATGCACCTTCATGGCAGTATGTGTGCAAGAGCATTCACGTGGTCGTGCGTGCGTGTGCGTGCGTGCGTGCAGCAGGTGGCGTGGGGTGATTATGGTGGCCCTCGCGTACGTCGCATGCCAGTGTGAATTTTAACAGCTTGATTTTGAATTACGAAAAAATATTAATTTGCAATGTCAAACATTGGCTATTTGAAGAATTGTGCTTCCTTGCATGCTGTCAGCCCACTCGTTTGGTGTGGCAACTGAAATGGGATGTTCATTGGCAGCTCACCACGTGAGCCGTCAATGTAATCTCAAAGTCGCTGGATTTAAATTTGCGCTGTCAAACTTGGTCATTTTGCTTTTTCTCAATTGCTATAAGTTTTAAGTCCGCCAAGGGTAAATGAGCATGAAGTAAGGAGAAGCGCAGTACTTAATCGTGTTCCGTGAAGAATGACTCGTGTTCTGTGAAACCTGGCCATGCCAGTAATGCAGCACAGGCATTTTTTCAGCAATGATTAAGCACTCAGGAGGTAGGGTTTCCCAATTCCAACTCTTCCAAGCAGGAAGCCACTTCCACAAGGAAGCCGTACTGGGATATCTCTCCTCTTACTCGGTTTGCCTTAATTGGGCTCTTTAATTATTGGGTATTTCCATTGAATTTATTCCAATTGAATCTTAAATGCATCTAGCATGCGGGGAACAGAATATCTACAATTCTTGTCATCTGATGAATCATAAATAAATTTACTGGCATTAATGTATATTAATTCGCCGAATAATCACTACTTTATTAAAGCTGTAGTGCAGATGGTGTTCACTGGTGATGTTTTTATACAGCTTTAATGTGGGGTAATTGGAGGCTGACGGGGAGCTCCTGTTTGTGTTCGTCCGGTAGGCGGGTGGCACGGACCAGGAAGCCCAGCGGGAGGCAGCCCAGAGGTGAGTGTGTGTTTGCACATGCCGCACTCTGCCCATCGTGCGCGTTGCCTGCGCATGATGGATTCTCAAGTCTCATCTCGCTGCGTGACTCGGTAGCCCAGTGCTCGGGCATGAGAACCTTACGTTCACTATGGGGACCTCATTTGCCAGTAAAAATATGATAATTGGTTCTTTACCCTTCTATCTGGCAACAAAACTGACACCTTTTTGCAAGGAGTCATGTTTGCATAGACCGCAATACCTGCAGTCATAAATACAAACAAAAGACATAACTCTGATAATGTGCACTGTTCTTGAAGTTGATTGGTCCACACCCGAGACAGCTTTCCTTCGAGCCTAGTCTCATATGGGTTGGACCAGATGACGCCAAAAGGCGCACAACTCAAGGACAATGCACCATCAGAGTATGAGAGCTCGGGGCAAGCATCTACACTATGGGGACCTCATTTGCCAGTAAAAATATGATAATTGGTTCTTTACCCTTCTATCTGGCAACAAAACTGACACCTTTTTGCAAGGAGTCATGTTTGCATAGACCGCAATACCTGCAGTCATAAATACAAACAAAAGACATAACTCTGATAATGTGCACTGTCCTTGAAGTTGATTGGTCCACACCCGAGACAGCTTTCCTTCGAGCCTAGTCTCATATGGGTTGGACCAGATGACGCCAAAAGGTGCACAACTCAAGGACAATGCACCATCAGAGTATGAGAGCTCGGGGCAAGCATCTACACTATGGGGACCTCATTTGCCAGTAAAAATATGATAATTGGTTCTTTACCCTTCTATCTGGCAACAAAATTGACACCTTTTTGCAAGGAGTCATGTTTGCATAGACCGCAATACCTGCAGTCATAAATACAAACAAAAGACATAACTATGATAATGTGCACTGTCCTTGAAGTTGATTGGTCCACACCCGAGACAGCTTTCCTTCGAGCCTAGTCTCATATGGGTTGGACCAGATGACGCCAAAAGGCGCACAACTCAAGAACAATGCACCATCAGAGTATGAGAGCTCGGGGCAAGCATCTACACTATGGGGACCTGTAGATGCTTGCCCCGAGCTCTCATACTCTGATGGTGCATTGTCCTTGAGTTGTGCGCCTTTTGGCGTCATCTGGTCCAACCCATATGAGACTAGGCTCGAAGTAAAGCTGTCTCGGGTGTGGACCAATCAACTTCAAGGACAGTGCACATTATCAGAGTTATGTCTTTTGTTTGTATTTATGACTGCAGGTATTGCGGTCTATGCAAACATGACTCCTTGCAAAAAGGTGTCAGTTTTGTTGCCAGATAGAAGGGTAAAGAACCAATTATCATATTTTTACTGGCAAATGAGGTCCCCATAGTGTAGATGCTTGCCCCGAGCTCTCATACTCTGATGGTGCATTGTCCTTGAGTTGTGCGCCTTTTGGCGTCATCTGGTCCAACCCATATGAGACTAGGCTCGAAGGAAAGCTGTCTCGGGTGTGGACCAATCAACTTCAAGGACAGTGCACATTATCAGAGTTATGTCTTTTGTTTGTATTTATGACTGCAGGTATTGCGGTCTATGCAAACATGACTCCTTGCAAAAAGGTGTCAGTTTTGTTGCCAGATAGAAGGGTAAAGAACCAATTATCATATTTTTACTGGCAAATGAGGTCCCCATAGTGTAGATGCTTGCCCCGAGCTCTCATACTCTGATGGTGCATTGTCCTTGAGTTGTGCGCCTTTTGGCGTCATCTGGTCCAACCCATATGAGACTAGGCTCGAAGGAAAGCTGTCTCGGGTGTGGACCAATCAACTTCAAGGACAGTGCATATTATCAGAGTTATGTCTTTTGTTTGTATTTATGACTGCAGGTATTGCGGTCTATGCAAACATGACTCCTTGCAAAAAGGTGTCAGTTTTGTTGCCAGATAGAAGGGTAAAGAACCAATTATCATATTTTTACTGGCAAATGAGGTCCCCATAGTGTAGATGCTTGCCCCGAGCTCTCATACTCTGATGGTGCATTGTCCTTGAGTTGTGCGCCTTTTGGCGTCATCTGGTCCAACCCATATGAGACTAGGCTCGAAGGAAAGCTGTCTCGGGTGTGGACCAATCAACTTCAAGGACAGTGCACATTATCAGAGTTATGTCTTTTGTTTGTATTTATGACTGCAGGTATTGCGGTCTATGCAAACATGACTCCTTGCAAAAAGGTGTCAGTTTTGTTGCCAGATAGAAGGGTAAAGAACCAATTATCAAGCTTACGTTCAGTTTACACACGAGGCAGCAACGCTTCTCCCGCAGGGACTGGTAATTTGTGAGGATAACGGACAGTGGGTCCCATCAGGTGGAAGGTGGATATTGAGGACCCTAATCTTCATGTGTAGGAGTTGGCCATTGTATGCCAGTGTCGTCAAATTGTATTATTATCTGCAACTCATTTGGGAATATTGTCCCTATGACACAAATGGGGCTGTTAATGGTGAAGGACTTTAATAAATACATTTTATAAAATTAACTTCAGTTTAGATCATATCTGGCTAATAGTTATTCATGGTGCCTGTCTTTGCGTTATATCGCAGTGTGGGGCATTACTGGATCATTGGCTGAGTGTTCTGAAAGGGTGGCATGTGGACTTGACAATTGCAACAAATTTCCAGAGTGAAAACATAATATGGTAAAGCTCTTACTTATTCAGGATTGTCTAATCCATCAATCCCATTATATGTGGAGAGCAGAAGGTCTGCAGTGTCTCTAGTCTGAAGATTCACAAATACTTTGTATAATTAATGAGCATTGAGGTGGGGTTATACAGCATTAATGGCTATTTTAATGACACTTGCGAACTTTTTTTTACGGGTATTACCTCCAAAGTAATGCTGTACTCAGTTTCGTAAAATGATTGCCTATAGTGATGGCAATGACAATAATAACTACAGTGATGATGCAGGCAGTGATAAGGTGGCTGCATTGGTTATTGTTGGAACATGGCCCACTGTATTGCTGAGCATTATTTTGATTGCACATTGTCGATGGTGGTGGTGTTGCTGTGTCTTGACGGTCGCAGGGACACTGAAATGCGAAACAGCATTCTGGCCCAGGTGCTGGACCAGTCTGCTCGTGCCCGGCGTAAGTCTTCTCTTCCCTTGCACCACTGGGTGGTCGTATTTGCCCACATGCGTACACCTATAACCTTAAGTGCCATTTGTTGTATCATTTTAGTTGCTTTGATATCAAATAGCTCTTGGCACAGGTAATGCTGCAGTCATCCCAAAACGATGATAACGTGTTAGCTCTTACATACCGACCGGCTCCCTACTGAGAGGAATCTGCAGTAGGGGCTTTTATCAGTTAAGGTGGTGACGTGGCCCATTGGTACCGTGCTCACTGCTTGGTTGCAGCAGTTTGCGGTTTGAATTCACGAGGATGCCCTGGTTATTACTGCGGGTGTAGTAACATTAAAATATGCGCCGCCTGTCTCACAGTGGACGTTAAAGATCATATGACATAATTTTAAACGAGTAGGCCATTGCCTGCTGCCGTCATTGTCAAAATTTGACGTATTTTATGAGCCATCGATTACTCAATTGAGATTGCTCAATTGAGATTACACGTAACAACATTGCCCCCTACTGTAAAACGACTAAGAGCCTGTGAAATGCAGTGCTTTAATGTTAGCCTTGTGCTCTATAGCGAGAATACCGGATGTACTGAATATTTAGTGACTTGTGCAATTGTAACTTGCAACCTAGGTAAAGTGTGGTTACAAACCAACAAGATAATGTGTTCTCTTACCAAACGTATTGCAGCTTTACTGCTGTGATATTCAAGTGGTGCTGTCTGTCTGTCTGCACTGCCCACAGTGAGTAACCTGGCCCTGGTGAAGCCAGACAAAGCCAAGTCGGTGGAGAATTACCTCATTCAGCTGGCGAGATATGGCCAGCTCCCTGGAAAGGTACAGTGCTACTGCGTCCTCATACCTGTGCAGGGCTCCCTTAACGGGAGGTGTGAGCACTATTAACAGTGACTATAGGTTTGAAGTTTTCGTGACTGCAGGGATCCATACTCTTTGGTTCTTTCGGTAAAGTCACGTAGGTATAAAATAAAATAAATTATGAAATAGCAAAACATTTTCTCGCTGTGGTTTTCCCACCTGATGATGATTGCTTGTGTTGCGATCGAAACGTTGTGGAGTGGCGTCAATGTCCGCTGTGTTTTCAGGTGGATGATAAAGGCCTCATCGAGATCCTAGAAAAAGTGAGCCAGCAGACAGAAAAGAAGATGACTGTCAAGGTAATAAAAACTCATCACTTGCATTAGTAACACTATGGCCTTAAAAGGAAAAGACATTTATACCAGGTGACGTTTCAGGAAATGGCCCTTGTTCATTTTCAAGCTCATTGCCTTACCTCTGCCATTGCCAATTGTCGTGTGCTAACCTTCCGCATGCATGTTAAACGTATTTGTCATGTGGAGGGATAGAGGAAGGCGGTGTATTGTTTGGTTATTTATTTCGATAAATAAGGATATGCAAGGCCAATACTGGACATCTGTGGACATCTGTGAAAAAAAGCTGTATAGCTCATTGCTTTCCTCCAGATAAATAGATATTCTTATTCAATCTACAAAAGTTTGTAGTAATTACCATGTTGATTTTTTTATTTATTCAAAATTAATAGCGATGTCGAAGAAGCGCAAGGACTCTTTCTTAGCATTCGTTATGCACTGCAGCAATTCAATCTTGCACCACAACAATGTCAACTGCAATTGCCCCGACTAACATCATCTTCATATGGTGACAATGGTTTAAGATAGCTTAACTCTCCTAATGACTCAGTTGAGCAAATTAAATCCATTGTTGTCTTGTTTAAACAAAATTTACAGAACAAAAATGCTCCTGCAAAGATTCATCATCTGATTTGGTTTTTATTTTCCCACAAAAGCCCCCTCGTATGTTTATTATATTTTTTACAAAGACAGTTTGTTGTGAAATGATACAGCACGTGTAACTGAAGTCATTATTCACGAATTTGATATTCGTGATTTTGGCATTCCGTGAATCGCATCTGCAACTCTACACAAATGCAAGAGAATATTATGCGAGAAAGTGATGAAATATCGTAATGAGAGAGAGCTTATTTACATATTTACTTCAGATAATACATTTTTTGTGGGCTAATGTTATCTGCGAAATTTGCTATTCATGAGCATCTCCGGAACGTATCCCTTGAAAATAACGAGGGAATACTGTTTACATTTTATGACATCCGCCCCCAATCCTCTCCACCGCAGTTTAACAGAAGGAAAGTTATGGACTCCGATGAAGAGGATGAATACTGATGGCGCGGGACTCTTGGGGTGCACTTGCCCATGCTTATGTATGGCGCCTGATCAAGCTAAGCAACCTGGTGATAGTAATTTGAGTGGATCGGTCATCTGTTGCTAATACTGACAGGTTGTGGCTGTCACAACAACCGTATGCACTTGAGTGTGTGTGGGTGTGGCCATGCATGTGTCTCCATGTACACATGCATGCACACAGTCTGTGTGCGTGCTTATGCCTCTTAAGCTTGACACCTGTCATTGGTGATAAGCCATCATACACTTGTGTAGGATTGATATTCAATAAATTTTTAGAGAAAGTGTTACAATGGTAAAATATTGGCCTACATCAATAGGATATTCTTTTATTTTAAACTGTTAACATTTCACAAGGAAACTATTTGGGGAGATCATATGGTGTGCTTGTGGTACCTACGTTGTTGGCCATGGGAAAGCATTTAACCTCAAAATGTAATAACCAGGGAGTCGAGGTATGATGGTAAATCTTACAGTGCTGCATATCAGGTTTTGAGATGCAAATAATGCCAATTACAAATGTGGTTACCTCAAGTTATATTTCCATTTGTGTATTCCAAATGTAACCCAATTTGCAATTAAACCAGCACATATGCCAGTGCTCACAAATGCTTGATGGTTGCATCCATTAAGCAAGGTGCTACTACCAACTTTTTGAACCTGTAGACAGCCACGGTCATCACTCAGGAGGTATGTGCAAGACCCAGAGGGTTAACAAGATCGTATCCCCTGCCTGCCTGATGCTCCTCCGCTGGCCTAACTTCAAGCAGCTGCGTGCCGTAAAGGCACTTCACTTGTGCAGTTAGAACTAAACCACACTGCTCACTATTATGGGGTCTGCTGGCATCCACTAAGTGCCAAGTCTGCATTTAAGGGGTCTTCAACGCAAATGAGGTGTGAGCACCACTGCGGCGATAGACACGAAAAGCTGGGTGCACAAACTGCTTGTGTGACAGGCGTTCAAAATACTGTTCGTTTATTTGTTGAATGCCAATGCTGTTGTGCATGTTCCTGAATTGCATTGTTTTTTGAAATAAACTGTTTCTAAAACATTTGAGTTACCTTCTCCAATATTATAAAACGGGTAAAGAAGATGTCGAGATTTCAGCCGACTGGCCTTCTTTCGAAAACATTGAGCATCACAGCAAGTCTTGAATACACTCTGCATGTCATGCCGTTCAATATAAACTTCAATGAGGCATATTCTTGGTTCTTTAGGTAAAGTCACGTAGAAGGGAAATAATAAAATTATATTAATATACAAAAAAATGTATTGTTTTATATTAATATTATGTAACCAGGAGGTTCCTACCAGTAATATTACGATTTTAATGGACAATGCTCGATTATTTATAAAATATATATATAATGGATTGTAAGGCAACTTAATTGTTTCAGGTAAAAATGTAACAGTATTCGAGTAAGGCTAATTATAGATATTGTGACATTTGTTTGATTTACGTACATCTTGAATTATTCTCCTTTGTCAATGACCAAGGTTTAGAGCAGGGTTGAGTCATGTCTGGCAGATGGTGGAGAACGGCTAGAATTTTCGGGATGAGCTTTACATTTGATTGAAATCAGAATATTAAAACTGGTAGGAACCTCCTGGTTACACCAGCCCACAGGGGATTATTGTGTCCATCCGTCGTGCAGGGAGGGGCTGGGTGGGGAGGGTGGGGCTGGGTGGGGAGGGGAGGGTGGGGCTGGGTGGGGAGGGGAGGGTGGGGCTGGGATGGGAAGGTGGGGCTGGGTGGGGGGTGGGAGGGGTGGGGCTGAGTGGGGAGGGGCTGGTCACCCCGTGGTGCCCTTATAAAACTCAATGTTTAACCTACTCACGCCGGCTTGTGCCCGCCCTCACAGTCGGCCATATTTGGGGAATACACCACGCCGTCGTTGACCCTGGCCATTGACCGAGTAACCCAACGTTCCTACCAGCTCCCTCCGCAGGAATGTGTTTGTCTTTTACTACAGGGTCCCTAGCATGAAGGGTATATCGGTCCTACACTGGTAACCCGTTCCCTATCGTCCTCCGGCTGGGACCTAGAGGAGGCTAACTGACCCTGACCTCCTGGTCCGGGGTCCTGACCACTGGCCTCACTGAGCTCCAGCCCTGAGATGGACTGTAGAGCTTGGAGTTCAGGGTTCTATTCTCCAGCCCAGGCTTCAGTCTTCAGGGGTTCGTGGGTGGCCCCGCCCTGGCCACGCATTCCTTCTGGAACACTCTTAGGTGACATCATTCCCCCGGTTCCCCCCCACCCGGGGGCCCGGGGAATGTCTCCCAGGATCTGTTTTACTGGAATCCACCGTTGGCCTCTCTGGCCCATGGCATGTGCCCTAGCGAGGTAACGCCTCTGCACTCTATTGACTGTAAGTGGAACTACAGGCTGTTTAACGATGAGTGACAACACCCTTACACATCACTCCTACGTATGTAATGGCAGTTGCTCAAGCAAGCAGCTGGCAAACACATTCCTGCGGAGGGAGCTGGTAGGAACGTTGGGTTGCTCGGTCAATGGCCAGGGTCAACGGCGGCGTGGTGTATTCCGCAAATATGGCCGACTGTGAGGGCGGCACAAGCCGGCGTGAGTAGGTTAAACGTTGAGTTTTATAAGGGCACCACGGGGTGACCAACCCCTCCCCGCCCAGCCCCACCCCTCCCACCCCCCACCCAGCCTCACCCTCCCCACTCAGCTCCTCCCCACCCTCCCCACCCAGCCCCTCCCCACCCAGCCCCACCCTCCCCACCCAGCTCCTCCCTCCCCACCCAACCCCACCCTCCCCACCCAGCCCCACCCTCCCCACCCAGCCCCTCCCCACCCTCCCCACCCAGCCCCTCCCTCCCCACCCAGCCCCTCCCTGCACGACGGACGCAATAATCCCCTGTGAGATGGTGTAACCAGGAGGCTCCTACCAGTAAAATTTCCCAAGTATCCTGATATAATACTGGTAGGAACCACCTGGTTCCACCAGCCCACAGGGGATTATTGTGTCCGTCCGTCCGTCGTGCATCCAAAAATGGGAGGGGTTGGGCTGGGTGGAGAGGGGAGGGTGGGGAGGGGCTAGGTGGGGAGAGTGGGGAGGGGCTGGTTGAAGAGGGTGGGGCTGGGTGGGGGGTGGGGCTGGGTGGGGAGGGGCTAGTCACCCCGTGGTGCCCTTATGAAACTCAACGTTTAACCTACTCACGCCGGCTTGTACCCGCCCTCACAGTCGGCCATATTTGCGGAATACACCACGCCGCCGTTGAACCTGGCCATTTACCGAGCAACCCAACGTTCCTATCAGCTCCCTCCGCAGGAATGTGTTTTATAATGGTGGAATCCGATGAGCTATAAAGCTCTTTTTCACAGATATCCAGGATTGCTTGAGTCATCAACGCTATTTACTACTATAATTTACTACTATAATAAGCCAATAATGTCTGTGTCCCGCGCGTGACGTCACTCCACGTCGACCAGCCCCATCTCAATAATCATGAACAGGTGACGTCCTCCACATGGACCCCCCCTCATTAATAATCATGCGTGGCTGACGTCACTCCACATCAAACAGCCCCCCTCATTAATAATCATAAACAGGTGACGTTCTCCAAATGGACACCCCCTCCATTAATAATAATTAGCGGGTGACGTCACTCCACATGGGGGGCCGAGGTGCCTCCTCCCCCCTCCTCGGCGTCAACTTCCAACCCTCACTACAAAGGCAGAACCCTCACGTCACGCGATCTCCGTCACGCTGTTGAGACATCAAAGTAAAAAGGACGTCACGATGAACAAGGGATTATAACCTTAAAATGAAGTAGGTCTGTGTCACCGCACCCTCACAAATTGCACACGCATTGATGCAATGAATATCACGTCGCGGTCTGCTTTTTGCTTGCAAGTTTCAGGTTTACTGCAATACACCCGTCCTTGGACGGGCAAAAGGCTCATTTTAAATGATTTCCCACTCATCTAAGCAGAACGGATTCCCACCCAGGTGAGCACGTGGTGTTGCTCATTTGTTTACTTCTGAGCCAGTGCTCGAAATTACCCCCATTCCGATAGCGGAGGCGAGTTTACTCATAAAACAATACATTTTTACTTCCCACAAAGTGGTTCCCCTTTGATCGACCTCGGAGGAAAAAAAATAACTAATTTCACCGCTGACGTGAGATTTTAAATCACAACATTATACTGGTAGGAACACCAGCCCACAGGAGATTATTGTGTCCGTCCGTCGTGCAGGGAGTGGCTGGGTGGGGAGGGAAGGGGCTGGTCACCCCGTGGTGCCCTTATAAAACTCAACGTTGAATTTACTCATGCCGGCTTGTGCCCGCCCTCACAGTGGGCCAGATTTGAAGAATACACCACACCACCGTTGACCTTGCCCATTGACCGAGCAACCCAACGTTCCTACCAGCTCCCTCCGCAGGAATGTGTTAAGAGTAGAGGTAAATTTTGCCTAGGTAATTGAATGGGAATTCAACTTGTGATTTGAAAAATTCAAATGATCGTTTAATTTTTATCAAAGCACAAAAACTCAGAGGGGATTCGAACCCACAATCCCCAGCCTCCGGAAGTTGGTGCCTAATCCATTAGCCCACTGGGCCACATTCATCGCGTCCTGTGTTCTTTGTGATGACTCCTAATGTGGATGAGATGTCACTTTCAAGGTACTCGGAAGTAGCCCAGGTAATGCTTGCTTCCAAGTGCCACTATCTAACAAACTGGAAAAGGAACAGATCTGCGAGATTTACGAGTAGATTCTTCAACTCAGACCATGACCCCGATAGCCCCCTTCCACAACGAGGTCACGTTACTGGGATCAGACTTAACCAGTGTGGTGGGGATGTAGCTCAGTGGTAGAGTGCACGCTTAGCATGTATGAGGCCCCGGGTTCAATCCCTGGCATCTCCATGTCCGCAGCTTTTATTTAATTCATGTTTCCAACAAAGGTTGAATTTCAAAATGAATTGTCTGTGTCCATGTCCCTGTACTAAGGGTGCACGTGAACTTTAGTAAATATTACCCTAGATGAACGAAACCTTAGTATTAATGTGTGTTAATTTACCGAACTTACTATTTTTATAACTCACGATGTACACCAGGGGTCGGGAACCTTTTTGACTGGGAGAGCCATAAAAGCCAAATATTTCTAAATATATTGCATTGAGAGCCAAATAGTATTTTTAACGTATAATAAATTAAATATGTCTTACTTTTGTAATGCGGGCGTAAACGGCCCTCCGGAGGTGCCGTCATGAGGGGAGGAGTTAGGTCACGTGGGGGGAGAGGGGTTGAGCTATAGAAGGAGGGGAACCGGAAGAGGATAGGGAGTGACGGGGAACCAGGGACAGAGAGAGGCCACGAAGGGCGAAGCGGAGTGTGGCGAGATCGCCACGAACACGGAGGCAGCGAGGATCGGCACCGTTGGCCAGCGGTGACCGACCCGAGGCAGCGAGGAGGCTGCAGTCAGCAGCGGGGCTGCACAGAGAGAGTGGGCAGCGGGTCTGCATACAGTGGCAGCCAGAGGGTCTGCACATAGGGGTAGCAGCGGGAGTCTGCATAGAGGTAGCAGCGGGAGTCTGCATAGAGGTAGCAGCGAGTCTGCAGGGAGGAGGTTACAGTAGATGAAGCAGAGAGTCAGAGGGAAGGAGAAGCTATAATAGCAGTGAATAGCCGGGGGCTACAAATACAGAGTTATAACAGAGTGCCGTGTGGGTGAAGACGAGAACCCAATAAAAGACACGAAGACAGAAGGAAGTGTCCGAGTCCATTTATTACACTGGAGTCAGAAGTGAAACGGCATGGCGAAACAACTGAGGAAAAAGAATATCCCATCTCCGGCGTCGGCTTCATCATCGGACGACGACGATCTTCCTCCTGAGGTCGGCTTCACTTCGGCGGAGGGAGAGATCCGTGAGGGCCCGGGTGTCGAGGAGGTTGCCGCTGCGTCCGCCCCGTCTGCGTTGAAGGACGAAGATTTACGATGGACCCGAATGGCGGAGCAGCTGGCGACTCTTAAAACCGTCATCACTGAGTTGTGTGACCTTGTCACGCCAAGGGGGGCG